AGTCTGTCTGGGTCAAAAAGAGACCTACCTAAATAGAAGAATACACAATGTTCATGGATAGGAAGATTTAACATTGGGAAAATGTCGTATTTCCCAAAGCCATCTACAGATAAGATATATTGCAATCCTGATCCAGATTCCATCCTCAAGTTTATATGGAAAGGAAAGAGGCCCCATATAATATAATCAGAGTAATACTAAAAAAATAAAAAGAACAAAGTAGGAGGTCTCATACTCCCCTATCTCAATACCTGCTATAAAGACACAGTAGTCAAAACAGCCAGGTATTGGTACAAAAATAGAAATGTAGATCAATGGAATATAATTAAGAACCCACAAGCTATTAATCCATCCACCTATTGACAGCTGATCTTTGACAAAAGCCAAAATCCATTAATTGGGGAAGAGATAATCTCTTTAACAAACAATGCTGGCAAAACTGGGTATCTATTTGCAGAAAAATCAAACAGACTCCAGATCTCTCACCATATATAAAAACTAACTCAAAATGGATCAGAGATCTAAATGTAAAACCTAACAGTGTAAAGATCATCAAAGAAAAATAGGGCCAAACTAAGGGGCTCTAATAAAAGGCACAAATATATTATCAAACATAACTAAAAACACACAAACAGCAGAAGACAAATAAACTAGAAGACTGCCAAAACCAAACCAAACTCATTGCCATCACGTCATTTCCGACTCACAGCGACCCCTCCTTGGGTTTCCTACATGGTATCTCTACGGAAGTTGATTGCCCAGACTAGGACCTCCTAAAACTTAAACATTTATACACATTAAAAGACTTGACCAAAAGACTAAAAAGCAAACCCACAGACTGGGAAAAAAAAAAACTGGCAATGATAAAGTGGACAAGGGACTAATCTCTGAAAAATTTATAGATCTTTTTAACACTTCAACATAAAATGACAAGTAATCCAATTAAAAAATGGGCAGAGGCCATCTAACCCCAGCACTAGTAGCAAAGTTCAACAAGACAGAAAATAATAAATGCTGGTGAGGATGCAGAGATTGGGACTCTCATACACTGCTGGTGGGACTGTCAAATGATACAACCACTGTGGAAAGCAGTATGGCGATTCCTTAAAAAGCTGGAATTAGAGATACCATTTGACCCAACAATTCCATTAGTAGGTACATATGCTAAATAAGTAAGAGCCAGGACAAGAACAGATATATGTACACCCATGTTCATCGCAGCATTATTTATAATAGCCAAAAGATGGCAACAACCTAGGTGTCCATCAACTGGGGAATGGATAACCAAACTATGGTACATACACACAATGGAATACTATGCAACCCTAAAGAATAATCTAGAATCTGCAAAGCACCGCATAATGTGGATGAACTTAGAGGACATTATGCTGAGTGAAATAAGTCAAGCACAGAAGAACAAACACTGTATTAGTCCATTATTGTAAAAAGTCAAGGAAAGGTTTATATATGGAAGGAAATTTTCTTTGTTGGTTATCATGGGTGGGAGGGGATGGGAGGGAACACTGCTAGATAGGTAGAGACAAGTAGTGATTTGATGAAGAAAAGGGCAATGTATCAAAAGTGAGTCATCAACACGGTGGCACTGAGGAAGAGGAAGACACTGAGAGATGCATGGGAGATACAAACAGCAAAGATGAACCCTTTTGCACACACAGTACTGTGTTGTCAGTGAAGGCAAACACTGATCTACAGGTTGACAGATGGGTAGACAGGCTGAACTATTAGGTAGGCCTTTGCAGGGGGGAATGTGCCCATGACCATGTATAGGGCTGACAGACAATGCTTCTACAAGTGTATTTGTATGATCTGTAAGAATTCCCAGGTATATAGTAGAGCTGACAAAGGACGAGGTTGTAATCACTTCTTGGCCACAGCCAGCTACTCAAGAGGGAGTGAATAGTTGGACCTGTGGGCTCGGGACCACAGCTGCAGGGGATAGCAAGCTCAAATGGCATAATATACTACACAAAACATTGTTCCACATCCTACTTTGGCGAGTAGTGACTGGGATCTTAAAAGCTTGCAAGCAGCCATCCAGATGCAATGATGGGTATCTCCTCAAGAGCCAAGAAGAATGAAGAAAACCAAAAATTCAGGGAAACAATCAGTCTAAGTGACTGGTACACCATACAATCCTCAGCCTATATTACTATGAAACCAGAAGAACTAGACAGTAACCGGGGAGGGGGATCTAGGTAGCAGGTCCTGGACAGAGTAGGAGAACAATGTGGAACAAAACTCAAAAGCATGAGGGAAAAAAAAAAAAAAAAGGGACCAGGTTTGCTGGTCTGATAGAGCCTGGTGGAACCCCTGAGACTATGGCCCTTAGTTGCCCTTCTGGTCTGGAATTGAACCCACTCCTATGGCTTCCTGCCAAACAAAAAACAAGCATATGAGCTGAACATTTACATTAGGCAAATACATTCCCTGGAAAGAACAATCATTGGAGAATAAAGAGCTTGTATACACAGGGAGACAGCTCAGGGGGCAGGAGTGCATGGGAAGGAAAGACATAGTTACCCTAAGAGGTAACCATGGGGAGGAAGTGGGAGGGGAGCTGTTGCAATGTGAGAAAATGCAATCAATGTCATGAGATAAAGTATATGGGAGCTGCTGTATAGAAAATGAATTTGCTCTGTAAACTTCTATCCAAATCACAATAAAAATTGGGGGAAAAAAAAAAGGGGGCAGAGAACATGAACAGACACTTCAAAGACTTTTAGGTGGGCAAGAAACATAGGAAGAAATGCTCACAATCCTTAACCATTACAGAGTTGCAAATCAAAGTAACATGAGATATCATCTCATACAAGCAATTATACCAAAGTTCAGTAAGATAGAAAACAACAAATGGTAGCAAGCATGTACAAAGACTGGTAGCGAGCATGTACAAAACAACAACAACATGTTCACTGCAACATTATTCACTATAGCAAAGAGATGGAAATGAACTCAGTGCCCACCAACAGATGAATGGATAAACAAACTACACTACTTCCATGCAGTGGAATATTGGCAATGTTAAAGAATAACCAAGATTCTGCAAAACACCTCATAAAGGGATGAACTTGGAGGACGCTGTTGTTGTTGTTGGTATGTGCCATCGATTTGGACCCAACTCATAGCGACCCCTCCTTGGGTTTCCGAGGAAGTATCACTATGGAAGTAGATCACCCAACCTTCCTTCCAAGGAGTGGCTGGTGAGTTTGAACCGCCAGCCTTCTGGTTAGCAGTCAAGTGCCTTAGGCACTATGCTACCAGAGTTCCTTGGAGGACATTATGCTGAGTGGAACTGGTATAACTGCAGAAGGTTAAGTATTTTATGAGACCACTATTTTATAAGGTCAGAAAGAGATTTACACACAGAAAGAAACATTCTTTGAACGTTGTGAGGGGTTAGAGGGGAGAGGAGGGGAGGTCACTAACTAAAGGATAGACTTTGTGGAAGGGAAAAGCAATATACAATGCAGGAGGGGTCAACACAAAATGATAAAGGCAAACGAAGATACTGGGGGAAGCATAAGAATTAAAGGCAACAAAAAAGGTAAATACTATTGCATACATAATCTTGCAATAACAATAATAACAATAATCTACAAGTGGACAGACAGGAATGTTGAACAGGTGTTGGAAAGGGAATGGGACCATACGCACAAATATATATAGGTTTGAAAGAGGATGGTTCTTCATATGTATTCATATGTGATACAAATATAGCTAAAAATATGATTTATATGAAAGTTTACAGAGCAAATTGGTTTTCCACTCAACATCTCATACACGTTTTGTGACGTTGAGTGTAGTCTCCATAATGTAATAGCATTACTTTGCTGAACACATTAGAGCAAAGTTATGAATACTTCTTAGCCATAATCAAAAACCTTGAGGGAATGTAATCACTGGGCCTGAAGGCTAAGGACCACAGTCTTGGGGGACACCATAGTCAAGTGGCATAATATAGCCCATGAAGATAATGTTCTATACCTCACTTTGGTGAATAGTGACTTGGGTCTTAAAAGCCTGTGAGTGGCCATCTAAAGTACAACTATTGGTCTATCCCTATCCAGAGCAAAGAGGAGTGAAGAAAATCAAAGATGCAAGGAAACAATTAATCCAGAAGGCTAAGGGACCATGTAACCTCTAGCCTTCACAATCCTGATACTGGAAGAACTAGATGGTACCTAGTTACCACCACTGATTGCTCTGAATAGGATCACAATAGGAGTTCCTGGACAGAATGGGAGAAAAATGTGGAACAAAACTAAAAGACACAATAAAGATCAGGCTTACTAGTCTGACAGAGACTGGTGGGACCCTCAAAACTATTGTACTTAAGACACCCTTCAAGCTTGGAACTGAACTTACCTCCATGGCTCAACTTTCAGCCAAATAATAGGCCTACAGGTAAACAGTAAGGCCAGAGTACACACTCCTTAGAACAGTCAACCATACGATATCAAAAGGGCGGCATTTGCCCAAGAACAAAGCTCAGAAGGCAGGAAGGATGAATGGAAACTAAAAATATAGGGTGGAATGGGAGGAGAGCCATTACATTATGGAGACTGCAATCAACGTCACAAAACAAAATGTGTATGAGATGTTGAATGGAAAACCAATTTGCTCTGTAAACTTTCATATAAATCACAATAAAAAGTTTAAAAATAATTATTATAATATTTAATTATACACTAAGACTGTAACTCCATTAATACAATGGCTCATCATTTGATGCTATTTATACTCTAAATTGAGATGAAAATACAACATGAAGAAAGTTGAAGTAAAAATATTTTGTCAAGTCAAAGAGTAGATATACATCTCTCTCTATATATCTAAATACATTTATCACAGAGGCATACTGGGGTATCTAATTAGAGAATCAAGAGATGTAATAAGGATGTTTATTGCTTTAAAGCAATGTGAATTTTACTCTAAGAAGGAATGGAGCAGTGTAAGAAACAAAAGGAAGGGGCACTCACCTTCCACGCTCTCCGTTCTCTCAGTTTTATTTATATCTTCAAATTCTTGCACAGATCCCATTTCCTTATCTGTTCTTTCTTTATCAAAAGCTGTAGAGTCTCGAGAAGTGCCTTCTAGGTCTCTTTCATGTTCACCTTCGAGTTTTGCTTCACTGCGTTTTATAGACTCTATTTGGGAAGAACTCTCAAAAGTTCTGTCTCTGTCTCTATCCCTATCTCTTTCAACAGAATCCGGAATTAGTCTCTCTCGTTCTCTGTCCAACTCTCTCCTTTTGTCTCGTTCTCTCTCTCGTTCCCGCAATCTATCTCGGTCCCTGTTCCGTGCCCATTCTTTATCAGCATCTCGGTCCCACTCTCTCTGCCTTGTATCTCTCCTCTCTCTTTCCCGGTCTCTGTCATGTTCATATCTATCACGTTCTTGAAGCCTGTCTCTGCTATCAAACGACCCGGATCTTGAATGGACTTGTCGATCTGACTCAGGAGAACTTCTTCTTGAACTATGACTTCTTGAATCCTGGCGATCTAAAATAAACATACAACATGCAAAGAGTTAGTACCTGATAATATAGAAATAAAACATTTCGTTTTAGAGCCCTTTTCTTTTCTTTCTTTATTCTCAGCTATCCAAATAACTCATTTCAAGAAAACTTTAATCTCTCTTAAACTGCTAATGAAAAAACATCAAAACTTTTTTGGGGTCTATTTCCACATTATAACCACAAAATAACTTCAAAGAAGTATGTATATAAAATAGTTGGGCATTAACAGAACCTTTCTGTGGTCAAAAGAGAAAGCATCAATTCAAGGTAATTCCCATAAAAACTCCAATAGCCTTCTTTTCAGAAATGGAGTTTACATGGAATGTCAAGAGGCCCCAAATAGCCAAATCAATCTCGAAAAAGAAGAACAAAGTAGAAGGACTCACACTTCCTGATTTCAAAACATACTATTAAAAAACAAAACACTCCCATCGAGTCAAGACTCATGGTGACCCCATGTATTACAGAGCAAAACTTCTCCATAGAGTTTCTTGGCTGTAATCTTTAAAAAGTAGATCACCACGTCTTTCTTCTGTGGTATGGCTAGATGGGTTAGAACTGCCAACCTTTAGATTAATAGTAGAATAGTAGGGTGCTAACTATTTGCACTACCCACGGACCTTAAACATACTATGAAGCAACAGTAATCAAAACAACCTGTTACTGCTATAACGACAGATGTACAGACCAGTGGAACAAAATTGAGAGTCCAAAAATAAACCCATATACCCATGGTCAATTTATTTTCGATAAGCCCGTATTAAGCCCATTCAATGGAGGAAAGAAAAGTCTCTTTAATAAACGGTGCTGTGGAAAACGGATTTTTACATGAAAAAAAATGAAGCAGGATCCATACCTCACCACATACAAAAACTAATTCAAAATGGATCAAGGACCAAATTGTGAGAACTGAAACCACAAAACTCTCAGAAGACAGCATAAAGGTAATACTTTGGGACATTAGTATTAGTTTTTAATAATGTATTCTTAGATGTAACATTAAAAGCACAAACAGCAAAAGACAAAAGAGAGAGGGTCTCATAAAAAATTAAACACTCATTCATCAAAGGACTTTATCCATAAAGCGATGAGATAGCATATATATAGGGAGAAACCCTGATAAGGGTTTTATATCCAGAATATACAAAAATCTCTTGTAACTTAACAGTGAAAAGACAGACAACCCAAATGAAAAAGGGGCAAAGGACTTAAATAGGTATCTCAATCAAAGAGGATACAGAAATGAGAAAATGGTCCAAGTAACTAGTCATTAAACCACTACCATTGAATTGATTCCAACTCATAGCAATCTCCATTGGGTTTCCAAGACTATAAAGTTTTATGGAAGTTGATTGCCTCATGTTCTTCCCATGGAGCTGGTGGGTTTGAACCATGAACCGTCCCAGTTAGCAGCCAAATGACTTACCCACTATGGCACCAGAAGGAGATGCAAATCATAACCACATATAAATACCACTTTACTCCCACTAGGATGGCTATGATAAAAAACAACAACAACAACAAATAACAGAAAATAACTGGTGTTGGCAAGGACGTGCAGATTTGGAACCTTCATTCATTGTTGATGGAAATGAAAAATGGTACAGCCTCAGCAAAAATAGTTCGGCAGCCCCTCAAAAAGTTGAACATTGAACTACCATACAACTCAGCAATCCTAATCTTAGGCATATGCCCAAAATAATTAAAAGTTGGAATGCAAACATAATGTAACACCACTCACAATAGTCAAAAGGTAGAAACAAACTAATGTCCATCAAAAGAAGAATGGATAAACAAAATGTGGTAAACAATGGAATATTACTAAGTCATAAAGAGAAATGAAGTCTTAATACATGCTACAATATGGATGAACTTGAAAATATTAAAGCAAATATGGACAGGTCAAAACTTATTAGTAGTTGCCAAGGATAGGAGGGAGGAGGTGATTAGGGGACAACATGTCAATGCTGGTCAAATAATCTGGTAAAGGGCAGTGGCTAATGGTTATGTAATATGATGAATGTAATCAGTTTCTCTGAATTACACATGTAAAAATTGTTGAATTGGCAATGTTTTATAATATATATTTTTACAACCACCACCTCTGCCCCCAACAAAAAGGACTGAGTGGGCACTGGCTGTAGGAAGGTAAAATTTTAGAGTTCAATAAGGTTCCTGAATACAGGATAAACAAAGCACTACTGAAGAACAACAATAAAGTAGGAGGTCTCACACTGCCGGATCTCAAAACCTACTACACGGCCACAGTAGTCAAAACTGCCTGGTATTGGTATAATGACAGACACACAGACGATTAGAATAGAACTGCGAACCCAGAAATAGATCCTATCAACCTATGGTCAGCTGATCTTTGACAAAGGCCCAAAATCCATTAAATGGGGAGGAGAATATTTGTTTAATAAATGGTGCTGGAAAAACTGGATATACATTTGCAGAAATATGAAACAAGATCTGGACCTCACACCATACACAAAAACTAACTCCAGATGGATCTAAGACTTAAATGTGAAATCTTAAACTGTAGAGTCCTTCAAGGAAAAACTAGGGGCAAATTTAGGGGCTGTAATATATGGCATAAATAGACTATCAAGCATAACCCAAAATGCACAAACAGCAGAAGAGAAACTAGATGAATGAGACCTTCTAAAAATCAAAGTTTTATATGCTTCCAAAGACGTCTGCAGAAGAGTCAAAACAGAACTTACAGATTGGGAAAAAGTATTTGGCAATGACATATCTTGTATTTGGCAAGGGACTTATCTCTAGAAGTTATAGAAAACTCTAATACCTCAATAACAAAAAGACAAATTATCCAATTAAAAAATGGGCAGAAGACATGAATAGACACTTCACCAAGGAGGATATTCAAGCAGCCAACAAACATATGAAGAAATGCTCATGATGATTAGCTATTAGAGAGATGCAAATCAAAACAACAATGAGATACCATCTTGTTCCAGCACTAGTAGCAAAAGTTCAACAAGACACAAAATAACAAATGCTGGCTAGGTTGTGGAGAGATTGGGACTCTCATACACTGCTGGTGGGACTGTAAAATGGTACAACCATTGTGGAAGCAGAATGGTGATTCCTTAAAAAGTTGGACTTAGAAATACCATTTGACCCAGCCATTCCATTACCAGTTATATATCCTAAAGAAGTGAGAGCCATGACAAGAACAGACATATGCATACCCATGTTCATCGCAACACTATTTACAATAGCCAAAAGATGGAAACAATCTACGTATCTGTCAGCTGAGGAATAGATAACCAAACTATGGTACATATACACAATGGAATACTATGCAACCCTGAAGAATAACCTTGTTGTTGTTGTTGTTGCTGTTATTTGCCGTTGAGTCGGCCCCGACTCATAGCGACCCCTCCTTGGGTTTCCGAGGCAGTATCACTACGGAAGTAGGATTGCCCAACCTTCCTTCCGAGGAGTGGCTGGTGGGTTTGAACCGCCAGCCTTCTGGTTAGCAGTCAAGTGCCTTAGGCACTATGCTACCAGAGCTCCTCATAATATGGATGAACTTGGAGGACGTTATGCTGAGTAAAATAAGTCAATCACAAAAGGAGAAATATTGTATTAATCGTTATTGTAAAAAGTCAAGGAAAGGTTTATACATGGAAGGAAATTTTCTTTGTTGGTTACCAGTGGTGGGAGGGGAGGGGAGAGAACATCGTTAGATAGGTAGAGATAAGTATTGATTAGAGTGAAGAGAAGGGCAATGCACCAAATGTGAGTGATCAACATGGTGGCACTGAGGAAGAGGTAGACAGAGAGAGGTACTTGGGAGGTACAGACAACAAAGATGAACCCTTCTGCACATACAGTACTGTGTTGTCAGTGAAGACAAATATGGGTATATAGGTGGATAGATGGGTAGACAAGCTCAACTATTAGGTATGTCTACGAAGCGGGGAGTCTACCCAAGACCATGTATAGGGTTGGCAGATAATGGTCCTAGAAATGTATTTGTATGATCTGAATTCCCAGGTGTATAGTAGAGCTGACAAGGGACAAGGTTGTAGTCACTTCTTGGTCATAGCCAGCTGCCCAGATGGACTGAGTAGTTGAACCTGTGGTGTCAGGATCATAGTCACAGAGGACATCAAGCTCAATTGGCATAACATACTACACAAAACTGTGTTCCACCTCCTACTTTGGCGAGTAGCGACTGGGATCTTAAAAGCTTACAAGTAGCCATCTAGATGCAATAACTGGTCTCTTCTTATCCAGAGCAAAGAAGAATGAAGAAAACCAAAGATTCTTGGAAATAATTAGCCCTAGTGACTGGTATACCTAGAGACTGTATGACTATAAGACCAGAAGAACTAGATGGTGCCCGGCTACCACGTCAACCACTTGGAAGGGGATCTATGTAGGAGATCCTGGATAGAGACAGGGAACAATGTGGAACAAAACTCAAAAAAAGGGAGGGGGGCCAGGTTTGTTGGTCTGATAGATCCTGGTGGAACCACTGAGACTATGGGTCCTAGCTGCCCTTCAGGTCTGGAACTGAACCCACACCTGTGGCTTTCAGCCAAACAAAAGACAGACATATGAGTTGAACACTTACCTGAGGTAGATACACTCCTAGTGGAGAACAATCATGGGAGAAAGAAGGGTTATTTATGCACAGGGAGACAGCTCAGGGGGCAGGAGTGAATGGACACAAGGAAGACGTAACTATCGGGAGGAAGTGGGAGGGGAGCTGTTGCATTGCGGTAATTGTGGTCAATGTCATGAGACCAAGTGCATGTGAATTGCTGTATGGAAAGTGAATTTGCTCTGTAAATTTTCACCCAAATCACAATTTAAAAAAAAAAGAAAGGGAGGGATCAGTGCAGAAGATCCTGGATAGAGTGGGAGAGCAATGTGAAACGAAACTCAAAATCATTTAAGAAAAAAATAAAACAGGTTTGCTGGTGTGATAGAGCCTAGTGACACCCCTGAGGTTATGGTCGCCAGTTTCCTTCAGGTCTGGACTTGAACTCACTCTTCTGGCTTCCAGCCAAACAACAGACAGGCATATGGGATGACCATTTACATCAATAAGATATACTCCTTACAATGATCAGTCATGGGAGAATAGGAGGGCAGTATTTACACAGGGAGATAGCTCAGGGGACAGGAATGCATAAGAGAAAAGAACACAGAGAAGTAACTGAAGGGAGGAAGTAGGCAGAGTACTGTTACATTGTGGGGAATTGCAGTCATTGTCATGAAACAAAATGTGTATGAACTGTTGTATGGGAAATGAATTTGTTCTGTAAACTTTCACCCAAATCATAGTAAAAATTTTAAAAATGTTAAAAAAAAAAAAGGTTCCTGAATACATAAGCCCTTTACCAAGATTTACTACTAAAGTCTAGATATAAAAACTGTTAGTATCATTGAATATATCTCTATTATAATGGTCATAACAATGTGTTAACAGCTAATATAGTCAATCCTATCACTTATGGATTCCATATGTGACAAGTTGAGTATTTGCTAAAATTTATTTGTGATCCCAAAAATCATGGGGCAGTCATTAGTAGACATACTCAGAGCAGGGAAAAACTCCAGTCGCCCAATGCACACGAGTCCCAGCTGAGGTCAAACAAGGCAAAGCTCTGCCTTTTCAGACTATAAACTCTGTCCTTTTCAGTCTACTTAGCGCATGTTTTTCACATTTTTGTGCATTTTGCTGGTGATTGTACTATATAAAATGGCCCCCAACCATAGTGCTAAAGTGCTGTCTAGTGTTGCTAAGTGTGAGAAGACTGTGATGTGCCTTATAGAGAAAATGGGTGTGTTAGGTAATTTTATGTAAGCGTGAGTTATAGTGCTGTTGGCCGTGAGTTTAATGTGAATGAACCAACAATATGGTCCATCTAGAAAAAGGGAGAGGCGATTCACCGACCTGTACATGAGGAAGCACAGGAAAGTGCTAAAGGAGTATCGATAGCATAAGAGGAAGTAATGGAAAAGATGAAAAAGCAAAATTTGATGATTCATGAGATAACAACTGGTTTAAAAGAAAAAAAAAAAAAAAGCATCATGGACAGCATTGCTGTGAGGCTGAAAGGCAAAGAAATTTACAGACATGTTCCCCAGGATCCGGAAAATGTTAAATCCTCCTTGGCTACTGTTTTATTATGAAGAAATATAATAAATAAAGTGTCTTAAGCAGAAACACACATAAAGCAAAGCCATGTATTGACTGACTAACAAAAATGTTGTGACTACAGGCTCACAGAACTTAACCCTGTATTTCCTCTAGGGGCAACAGCTCAGTATTCATTAATTCAGTGTCTTGAGGTAATTCTAGAGAACATTAACTGTTGCAAGTGACAAGAGAAACTGTGTTTTGATAGGACAGCTAAGTTTTTTGATAAGTTCCATAAAATTTAAGGCAGCATACAAAGTAACCAATTTAGAATTAGTTTAAAAATATATTCTATAAAATATCGTTAACACAGAAAATATAGATTACATCAAAATTCAAATTTATTACCTGAAGAAGTGCTTCGACTAGGTTCCCCACGCTTTAACTGATCAATCCTGGACTTCCTTTCTCCTGTGATTTCTAGGCTTTTAGTTTTTTCCCTATCTCTTGAGCCACTATGCAGTACTCTCTTTCGACCACTTTGGTCATCTCCACTTCGATGGGCGGAGTCATTGGATGGGGAGCGGAGACGACCAGATGTATGACTACGATTACTCCGATTGCTCCCAAGGCTACTACTCCTCTTTTGATCCACTGCCTTGCGATGTGGTGTATCTTCTATAGTAACATGAGGTGCCTCTACTTTCTCCACTCGTGCTCTGTGGCACTTTCTATGCAACTCTTCATTGGTAAAAGTAGTGGCAGTGATCGAGGTACAAATGGTGGTGGTGGATGTGGTGAAGGGGGTGTGAAGATTAGTACTATTAATTGTGGCAAGAGCAGCAGTGGCTGTAGCCACAGGAGGAGGAGGAGGAAGAAGAGAAGACAGAAGAGGAGGAGTACTAGCAGGAGTAGCAGCGCTGGCAATGTGCTCTGGTTCTGTCACCTCTGTGCGGTCAGGCACATCTTCATCAGACCAGTCACTGAATGCTGTATCTTCTTTTTTCTGAGGATCTTCTACAGCAGCGCCATCTTTATTACTGGAAATTTCAAGCAGGTCCTCTTTAGCTGTTATTGGGGGAGTCCGTGGGCCTTTCTTCTTCTTACTTTGCTGAGTTGCCTCTTCATCAGAAATATCAGAATCACCTTTGGATCTTTTACGTTTTTTTTCTATACTTTTCTTCTTCTGTCCTTTTTTAGGTGAAAATACTTGAACATCTTCAGATGTTGTCTCTGCATGACCCCTTTCTATTCCAATATCATCCTCTTTCTTTTTCTTAATTGGCTTCTTTTGAATTTTTGCTTTTTTCTTGTTTTCTTCATGAATTCGATCAGAGATATCTCGATCTTCAGACTGGTGGTGTGCTAGGATGTCTTGAGTACGTGTTCTTGAGCTTTCTATGATTTCTGTCAATTCTCTCTGCTTATCTACAGAAGAGATTTTCTCTTTGAGTTCCTGCTCTTCATAGCGCCGTGAACTCTCTTTTCTTTCTGGTTTACGATCCTCCTCTTTCCATCGGCACTGCCTGTCTTCTGCCAGGTGTGACGGACTTAGAGAACGAGAGTCTTGAGGTCGTACAACTTGGCTCAAGAGCCTATGTTTTTCATCTATCCAAAAAGATAAAAATAATCACAGTTTTACCGACCTAACAAACATTGCACAGTACATACAAATAGCAATAAGCGAGTCTCTCATTTTTCATATAGCACTAATTTCAGTAAAAATTTTAGAAAATACACTTTACACAAATAGTAGGAATTGACAGTGGCATTATCATAAAATGACTTTGTGTATTTATAACACAGATACTTTTGTGACATAAGAAGATATTCAGAGGCAGCAGAGCAAGAATATTTAAAAACTGATTCATCAGTTTTTTACTGAGGTCAAAGAATGGTCTGATGGTTACAAATCAATCTGAATATAAACCCACTGCCACTCAGTCAATTCAGACTTGTAGCAACCCTACAGTGTATCTAAGGCTGTAAATCTTTACGGAAGCAGACTGCCTCATCTTTTTCCTGTGGAGCAGCTTGTGGGTTTGAAACGCTAACCTTCTGATTACCAGTCAAATGCTTTAGCCACTGTGCTCCTTGAATTTGAATAGAGATACAAAAAATAAATTGCCTACTTTTATCATCTCCACTGTTGTAGGCATCACTGTCAGGAGAATGTTCACGTCGACGCTTAGGTGACTGACGAGGGCTAGGACTACCTTCGTTTCTATAGCGCTTCCTAAATTGGACCAACAGATGCAGTTAATAAAATTCCAGTGGGGTGAAAAAGATTTCTTTACAATATTTTTTACTAGAATTTCCTTGTTGTAACTAGAACACATAATGGTAGGATAGCAGTTATTGTCAGAACTGTACCATGCAAAAGGTATTCAGCATCTTTAATAAAATGCTTTACTTCATTTGCAAATGGTGGTGGTAGATGTGTGAGGGTGGTATAAAGACTACTACTATTAAAGACTTACAATAATAGACTTAAAATATGTAGCAACATTTTTCTTTTCATTATATATGCAGAATCACTTCAAGTGAAAATTGCCAAATTTAAATCCTGTGAGGTGGTGACATGCAACAGAGGAATAACCTTACTAATACATCCTCTAATACAAACTTTTGTCAATTTCACATTTTTATGATATAAAAATGTTTTATGCCAGGAAACAGAATGGGAAGATCTAGTATAGGTCTTGGTGTCAAACAGGTATGAATTCAACTTAGAGCCAAGTGAGTTCCTTAAACTCAATGAATCTCAGATTTTCCATCTGAAAATGAGGGGGAAACCGCAGTGAAGAATAAATTGTCAGAAGCCCTGTGTCAGACATGTTGTGGGTACCCTAAAAAATTAGTTTTTCTTTCCCTTTCTTTGAACTAAATGACTTGCTTGATGACAAATTAATAAAATAATTCATATTTTCATTTTACTTCTTGTTCCTTAAATTTTAAATCAGTAGAGACTTACTTCTCTTGGCACTTATGTTATTCTATTGTTTTCCCACATTTTCTCTTAAACTGTGACCACTTATTATTTTTTTTTTTTAACTAACATTGTTTATAAATACTTTAGTCAAGACTGAGAACCATACTGAAAGCATATGTGTCTCCTTGACAGCTTCTTTACACAGATGAGTAACTCTGTGGAGAAGGCAGCCCCAGATGTAGGATGACAACACAGAGGCCCAAGCTTACGAAACTCTGTATCCAGCCATGCAGTGGTTGGTTGTAGGGACCTCCTCGGATCTACATTGTGTAACTGCTTCCAGTAAGTAGCCTAGGAGTGGTGACTCTATAATAACAAGTACCCAAAACTCATGAAGTATAATCAGGAACAGCACAGGCAACATTTCTTGGTCACTAATCAACTCCATTAACTAGTTATATATGAAGAGGCTTTTATACTAGACTCCTGTTAGGAAAAAAGTCTGTAGCAGTAGAGAAAGTCAATGTGCTACCAAAAATGGCCCTGTAAATGAGAATGATTAAAAACATCCCCTGGATACACGTGCAGTAGAATGGAAAAATCATTTTTTTCTAGACAATTCAAAAGACTTTAAACACCAGAAAAGTAATATAAAATTGAAATGCAGGAAAATATAGAGAAAATAAAGAAGAAAAAGAATTAATAGAAAATTAAGGGGCACACTGTAGAGCATTAAATGAAACTTTTTCTAATGCTGGACTGAAATATACCTTTAAAAACAGATTCATAATGATTCTTACTTTGATTTTCTTTCATCGTGCCCATCTCTTGGATTCCTTTCTTCTCGGGTATCTTCTCGCTTTTCTCTGCGGTCATCTCGCCCTTTATCTTTCTCTTCCCATTCCCTCTGACGTTCTCTTTCTTTATCCCTTTCTCTCACTCTTTCTCGTTCCCGTTCTCGCTCTCTCTCCCTCTCTCGTTCTCTCTCTCTCTCCCTTTCTTCTCTCTCTCGTTCCCGCTCCTTTTCCCTATCTCGTTCCCTCTCTCTTTCCCTCTCCCGTTCATGGTCACGATCTCTCTCTCTTTCACGGTCTCTCTCTTTCTCTCTCTCTCTCTCCCTTTCCCTAGCACGCTCTCTTTCTAGTTCTCTTTCTTTCTCTCGTTCTCTCTCCCGTTCACGTTCCCTTTCTCTCTCCCGCTCCCTGTTGTCTCGTTCTCGTTCCCGATCTCTCTCTCTAGCTCTTTCATCTCTTCTATCATCCACTCTGTCTACTCTTCGTTCCTCTCTTCTTTCATCACGCTCAAGCTCGTCATTCCTTCCCTGATGTCGAATTGGTGAGCTTGGTCTTTGATCTACAATGAAAACCAAGTTTTTTCGGTGATTAATTAGACAGATAACCTACTGGTAAGACAGTACAGTAAATCTTCAATTTTACCTGTGCATAGGGTCACACCAGCAATAAATTATAAACTAGACACTATATAAACATCCAAACAATAATCACTCCTAGACCTTTAAACTATTTTACCTTAAAGATAATTTTTTATTTGCCCTCTAACTACCATATTTTCTGCTCCTCATCAACCCTCACATCTCCTAACGATGCACTTCGATCTTTCTCTGCATGCTCCCTACCCTTCCTCCAGCGCACTGCTCCAACCCCACTTCTGCCATCTCTACCCATCACCTCTGATCTTCTCTGTCCTCCCAGCAGGACCTGAGAACACTGGTGGCAAAGGACAGAGGCAGAAGAAGGTGTAGAACATAGGCACTGAAGGAAAAAATATATTTCCCTCGTAAGCCACACCTCTAATTTCAGGGCAAAATATGTACACATCAAAGTGCAGCTAATATGTGAGGAAAATACAGCAGAACAAAACACTATCAGTTTCTTACTGTATATTAAGGAGACTGGTGCTTAGCAATCTTGAAATAAGTAAATGTAAAAAGTGATCATGTTAGTGATATCTATTTATAATACCTAACTTGTAATAAATTTTTATTTTATCAAATAACTGGTAATTCAGATGAAGAGCTATTTTCATAAAATGTTAGCTGATAATCTTGGCATGTTTTATAAATTTTCCAGTCAATGCACGAATCATATAAAAACACAACTTTTCTTTGCGTAAATTTTCTCTTTACCTCTTTTTTTCTTTAAACATTTGAGAAAATAAATGCATGATGCCCAAATACCCAACTCAATGGGAAATTAATCTGGGATAAAAAATGTGTAAGTGGATGGTATGAGCTATTCCACAGGTGGCCATTTTTCACAGTAACTCATACTGTTATAGGATCTAGGCTACTGTGGGCTTTCTATTTTCATACCATATAACGTTTATCAGTTAGTCAACGGAAGTCATCCTATAATAGACCACCATTTGAATTTTAAGTGGAGCATCTGGCATCAATTTATTAAGCAGAATAATTTTAGGATATTTCAAGGGAAAAATGCAATATAGTAATTTGAATGTCCTTCCTTTCCAATGATGAAAAAGGTAAGTATTATTCATCTTCTATTCTTTGGAAGGTTACAGGTTTAGATACAAAAGTTCATAGAATTTTAAAGCTAACATGAAGGAAAACCCTGTCCAATCCTTTTCTCATCCCCTTTCTTCTTAGAAACACAGAAATTATGGCCCAAAAGTTAATGTGCTGAAGTCACAGAGATGGCAGAAACATTAGGGTAGAAGGACTAGAAGTCAGTTTTCTTATACTATTTTATTTTTGTTGGGATCAACTTAAATTTAAAACAACTTGAATATACCATATTTTTGATTCCCAGAATGCTATCTACCCATCTTATACTGTCTGATTCTTGATTTGGGGATTATCCTAATGCCACAACAACTACAAAATAACCTGAAAGAAATGCAGCTTATAGCAATTCACACTTGCAGTTTCTGATTATAGCAATGCCAGAGCATAGACTACTCTGTGCAGGCATTCTTTTTAGGCAGACAAAAACTTTATTATTCTTCCGACTAAATGACAATGATCGATATATCAAAGGATAATGTAAAAAATATAAGAACACCACATAGTTTGTCTACATTACCTTCCCCATCTTGCCCTCAAATGAGTTTGTCTTTTTATAGTAAACCTGCAAAAGCCAAAACCTTTGTAAGGCAGTAATCTGTCAGAAAAAGGAAATTCAAAATTTTTTCACTAATATAAGTAATAGAAAAAATGCTAAGACTGTTCCCTGTTAAAGGTATACAACTTGTGAGATCTGGGAAAACAAGGCAGTCCTACCAAGTTCTGGCTCTCAGAGGTTTCCCTGTATTTCCTTATCTTAATGACATACCTATTTCACAAAAGCTGAAACTCTCTAAGTTATCCAACTCATAATTCATATCCGAGTTCCATCAATTCCATCTACTCCCTTATTGCATTTCCTCTCCTCATCCCTACAGTTAATGTATTAACTCAGATCACGATCAGTTCTTCTTAGGCAAGTACATCCTCAAGAGCATGACTGGCTAACATCTTTGTCTTCAGTCTTCCCCCAAACTCTCTTATATTTCTTTTAAATAAAAACTCTATTTCTTCTAGCTGCTTAAATGCAGTTATCCTGTAGGCAGTAACAAAATTTTTAGCTTGACTTATCAGGCTATTTATAATCTGGCCTATACTCTCTCATCAGTTTTTTCCTCCAGCTTCTTTCCTTCTCTACCAATAGAACATAACTCCACATCAACTTCATAACATAATTCTTTGCCACTCTGAAGCACGTTTCTTTCGACCCTGTGTGACTGCACATGCTGCTCCCTCTCTCTGCAAAGTGCTTCTTTAATCATTCCTTCTAGCAAATTCTTATTGCTCCTTCAGCTCCTAATTCAGACATCACTTCTTCACAGTTTTCTTGGATTTCCCCAGAATTGGTTGCTCGTCTTCTTACAGAACTTTATATAGTAATAGCATTTATCATAGTTCAACTGTCTATGTGTCCCCTGATTATACTGTGAAAAACTAAAAGGAAGACTTAATTCCTCAAATACAGAACAATGTGCTTTGGTACATATCTACGGTCAATCCCTATCATTCTCCCTATTACTCACCACACTCTAGCCATATGGGTCTTCATTCAGTTTTACATCATATTAGGCTAGTTCCCATCTCAGGAAAATTGTACCTATTCTTCCCTCTGCATGGAATATGTTCACACTCAGTTTCTCAAAGACCCTTTCATTCACAACTCTGCATAAATGTCATCTCCTCAAATTTTTCATAAGCACTCTATCTAAAGTAGGTCTCAATCTATGGATCTATCTATCCCCCTCGTTTGCTTCCTCTATAGCACAAATTAACCTTTTTATTTATTTGCAGGGAGGTGGGGGGTAGGGTGGAGAGTTCTTTTCCTCTCTATTAAATTCCACAAGGACAGAAGACAAGAACTACTGTATTCCAAGTACCTAGCAAAGTAACACACAGGGGTGCTTAATGAATATTTGTAGAAAATATCATTAACCTCTAAAATAAATTTCTATTTCAATCAGACAACAGACATTTATTGAAGTAGTTACAGTGAAGTAAAACAGAAGGAGAATTGGTCTGGCACTCAGAAGATCTGGGCCTAAATTCTACCTCTGGAATTTACTTCTCTTTAATGCTAGAAAAATCACTTCCTTCTCTTAGCTAAAACTGCCTAAATCAAGAGATATGGGTTCTCCCATCATACCCTCATTCACAGGGAAATTGTAAAGATTACGTCAAGAACGTATGGAAAGCACCGTTCTCTTAATAAAGCTCAATACATATGTGGCTGAACTAAATATAAGACTGAAATTAAATGTTACTACTGAATTCAGGCATAAGAAAAACCTGAGCTAGGATATGAAAATAGAAATAAAGTAAAAAAAAATATAAGAGGTATTATTTTAAGAAGTATTACCAACACACGGTTGTAGGAGATTAGAGTAAGGAGGTAAGAAGAGGTAAATCAAAGTGCTACAAAAGAAATAATTTCAGATACCAACATCAAACCAAACCCACCGGCATCAAGTTGATTCCAGCTCATAGTTGGAGTAGAACTGCCCTATGGGGCTTCCAAGGCTGTAAATCTTTATGAAGCAGATTTACTTCCCCTGTAGATTTACAAAGTAGATTTATGCTCCCCCTGTGGAGCCCCTGGTAAGTTCCAACTGCTGACCTTTTGGTTAGCAGCCCAATGCCTTAACCAGAGCCACCAGAGCTCACAGATATCAACACGGAACATCTAAATACAGCCTCACCTGTAGCTAAGGAAATCCTATATATCTTTTAACCTAAATGCATTAGGCTTACCTTAACAAACTCAACCCAACCAATTCTCCTGCATCTGATCTCATCTATGCTCCCAAAAGTATATGGTGGTCTTAGCATATGTGTACTCCTCCCATTACTACCCACATCAAGATACACAATCATCTCTTTGATTCAGTCCACAGTGAAGTACCACCATTTAAACCCCTGGTCTACTCAGTTTCATACTCTATCAATCTCAGCATACTGTGAACCTTATTCTAGTAACCAACCAAGAAGGCTAGGAAGACCTTTACAAAATTTTAAATGTCTCAAGGCCCTAATATGAATAGATAATAAAAGCTTACTGAAGTACATACTTATAATCCTTTGTAAAAAGCCACCTAGTAATTTTACTTCAAAATTTATTTAAGAGCTCATACTAGATTAACAGGAATGTGTAAATGTAAGACATACTAAATATAAAAATAGCTAAAACAAATACTATAAATATTATATTTTCTCAGGCAAGAATATGAATAAAAGGTTTCTCCCTACTATCCCCACCTATCGTCATCTGTTCTTGCTCCTCTCTGGTAGTCCTTATCATAGCTAGTAAGTGAACAGCCAGGATACTCAGATGAGAAGGTTTAGATAGAATCACTTGGGATGACACTCAAACAAACATCTACATCTTTTACACGGCTGCAAGCTTTTCCAGCAGGGCACCCTAGTTCATACACTCTGTTGTCAGTAGGTATTGGTAGTTAGCTACTTACATAATCCCTCCTAAATCATATCAAAGCAAAATGAAGACTATGTATGAGTGAATAGTTTCAGATGTATTGTTATGCAAAAGCCTTAAGATATTTTATATTAAAAATTAAATTGATAACTGTTTAAAATCTAATTCTCCTAATTGGTATTGGTCATTATTTAATAATATTTCATTTGACAAACCTCTTTCTCTGTTGTCACGACGGTCTCTCTCTCCATGTCTTCTCTCAAAAGAGGAATCCCTTGCTTGATCTCTGTTGTCTCTTTCAGGATATCTGTCTCTTTCAGGATAGCTACTTCGAGTTTCCCAGTTGTCATGATAGTTGCTACTACTACTGTGACTATCAATTTGAGAACCTCTTGTGCCTCGACTTCCTAAACAAAGGATATTCACACAAAATGTTTAACACATACTTTATTCAACAAATTTCACCAGTCATAATCTTTCTCAAAAAAACTACATTATGTAAAGCTTTCTTTTCATATTATATTCCAAAGTGTGGTAATCATTTAATTTTGAGAAGAGTTATTGAATGTTGGCTCAGAACACTCAAGTTTCTAGTGACTCACTTAGGTAAAGCTATGTCCCGGTTTTCCTCATCTATAAAAAAAGTTATATAATAGGATCATAAAGCAAGAAAACTCATTTCAATTAACTCAAAAACAGTAAAAGTAGAAATCACTGATTTACATATAATTCACAAACATAATGAATATAATGATAAATATGGATATAATTATTACAGTTTAGTGAAAACATTCCAATACAGAGCCAAGGTGCTTGGGCAAGACATTAAATAATACCTGATATTTTCCAAAAAATGTAGGCAATAAATGTAAACTGCAGCTTTATTCATAATAATAAAAAACTTAAAACATGTATCAAACAAATATCAACCAAAAGAAAGATGCCAAGTAGAAAATATCTTTCAATGGGTGGACTGCTAAACAAACTGATACATCCCTACCATGGAATACTACTCAGCAATAAAAAGGAATGACCTACTGAAACATGCAACAACTTGTATGACTCACAAGGAAATTATAGTTAGTGTAAAAATGCCAATCATAACAAGATACATACAAGCATGATTCCACTTATGTACCATTTGCGAAATAACAATTATAAAAACAGAGGACTTATTAGTGGTTGCCAAGGGTCATGAATGTGAGGAGATGAGGATGACTACAAAAGGGTAATGTGAGGCACTCTCATGGTGTTGGTACAATTGGGTATCTTGACTGTGGTGATAGCAATACAAGGTTACAAATGTGATAAAACTGCACAGAGCTACATATGCATGCATCCATGTGCGTGCACACACAAATGCATGTATAACTGGTGAAATGTGAATTAGGTTTATGGATTGTACCAATATCTATTGCTTATTTAGCTACCAAAACACTGGGAGAGGTTGGGGGAAGAGTGCATGGGACTTCCCTTTACATCTCCTTTACATCTCCTGGGTATCTGTAATTATTTTAAAAAAAATAGGGGCAGGAAGAGAAGATTAGGGGATTGGACAGAGGATTAGGGAATAGGAAGAAAAGTTGTACTTGGGCTGTGATAATCTAAGAATGCCTGGCAAAAACTCCAGAGGGCTATGCTGCTCTCAGCCTCACTGAATAACTGAGTATGATGAAGATGAGTTCAAGCCAAATCTATAATAACACATGAGATATCAACCCACCTGAAGCAAGAATCAGAAGACACTTCCCTGAGACCAAATACACACACACACACACCCTCACACATAACAGGATTTGAGCTCTAAAAGAATTACAACATAATTCTAAATACTGTATAGGGTATTTTAATAATTAAAATATCTGTAAATAATATTTTAATAATTAAAATTTGAAATTAAAATTTGAAATAAAAAGTTTAAAACATTTTTTGAAAGACCTTCAAAAAAACTATATATAATATCTAGGAATGAAAGTGTTAAATATTAGATGTGGCTTAAAAATAAAATGGGAGCTCTGGTGGTGTAGTGCCTAAGGCATCTGACTGCTAACCAGAAGGCTGGCAGTTCAAACCCACCAGCCACTCCTCGGAAGAAGACTGGGCAATGTACTTCTGTAGAGACAGTGCCTCAGAAACCCAAGGAGGGGTCGCTATGAGTTGGATCAGACTCAACAGCAGTGAGTTTGGGTTTTTTTTTTTTTTTTAAAGAGAAAATTATGTCTGAGGAAACTACCTGGAAAGCAAAACAGAGAGATGAAGGGATGAAACATTTAAAAGGAAAAGTTAAGAATCAAGGAAGATGCAACGAGAAGATCCAATATATGTCTAATAACTACATGCTGTTTAAAGTAACATTTAAAACAAGAGTACAGAAAGGCTGCCAGGGTGGAAAACCATACATGAAGCAAATACTAACCAAAAGAAAATTGCCTTCAAGAAAATAACCTTCAAGGAAAATGCATCAAGTCAGAAAAAGATAACTCCATAGTGATAAAAGTAAAATTTCCCTCATGTGAGCATACCTAAAAAGTAAAGCCTAAAAATATTCAAAGCCAAATGTGACTGATATGCAAAAAGAAATCAACAAATTCATATCACTGTGGGGGAATTAACACACCTGTCTGTAATGATAGAAGCAGACTAAAAACTATTGTTAGATGTGGAAGATATTAAAACATAGTTAACAAATTTGATGTCAGAGACATAACTTTGTATTCAACCAATAAAAAAATGCATTCATTTTTAAAGTTTACTCTGAACACTGACAAAAACTTACTATTAAGCCATGAAATGTCTTAATAAATACAAATACCAAAAAACTAACTTCAAAAAGCGCATTCTCTGGCAATTAAATTATAAAGGGGGAGAGGACTTATTAAAAAGCACATTTGGAAATTTAAAATATTTTCCTATGCAACTTATGAGTCTAAAGAAGTTATATTAATATTTAGAAAGTAGTTAGAGTGGATGTTAATATAGATACATTTCACAATAGAATAAAAATATAAAAGCAGAAAAAATGATGAAATAGAAAAAAGATACAAAAGAATATCAAAAACATCAAAGACTAGTTCTTTGAAAAGACTCAAAGTGAACCAACCTCTTCAAGAGTGATCAAGGGAATAAAAAGCAAATATAATTACAGACAAAAAAGATATTTTTAAAAAAGAAATTTGGTGATATCTTTGTAAGAAAAATTTTAAAAACTCACTACAAGTGCTTTAAAAAGAAAGAATAAATAAATCTGTAACTATTAAAGAAACTCAATCAGCAATAAGCTCTGTTGTGTTGTGTGCTGTCGATTCCAACTCATAGTGACCCTATATGACAGAGCAGAACTGCCCATAGGGTTTTCTAGGTTGTAATCTTTACAGGAACAGATCACCAGGTCTTTCTCCTGCAGGTTAGAATTGCCAACCTTTTGGTTAGCAGCTGAGTGCTTAAGTATTGCACCACCATGATGCCTTAGTAAAACTCTAACCATCAGAAAAATGAACAAGTTTTAACAGACAAACATAATCAAAGTTATCAAAGAACTGATAACCAAATATAAATTGTTCCAGAGAAAGAAAAAGGCAGTACTTTTCCAACACATTTGATCCCCAAAGCAAACAAGGGCAATATAGTAAATGAGTATCATGTAATGATATGCTAGACTGGCTTACAACTGGCTTATGAGAGGCAATTCTGTGTATCTCTTTCCAACTCCACACTGAGTAACATCATGTTAGTAGCTTGAAATCTGCTATGGTGGGAGTATTTATAATACCATGGAAATTGGCAAAAGTTAAAAGTCAGGACTTTTTCTAAAGAATTAGTTGTTAAACACTGGCCACCATGCACTGGTTATATGCCAATCTCAATTTAAAAACATAAACTCTAAATCCAAAATTAAATTTTAACAAACCTATTCTAGAACTTAAAGGAGCTCTGGTGGCATAGTGCCTAAGGCATTTGACTGCTAACCAGAAGGTTGGCCATGCAAACCCACCAGCCACTCCGCTGAAGGAAAACTGGGCAATCCACATCCATAAAGATTTTCTGCCTCAGAACCCAAAGGTGGTCACTACGAATCAGAATTGACTCAATGGCAGTGAGTGGGTTTTTTTGTTTTTTAGTCTAGAACTTAAAAGAGGATAAAATTGCACTTACCTCAGGAATGCAAGGATCACTCTAAATTTTAAAAGTATATTAACATAAGTAACGAAGTTAAGAAAGACAAATTATGTGATCTCATACACTGTCACAGAGTCGGATCCAACTCATGACCCCTCCTTGGGTTTCCAAGGCAATATCATTACGAAAGTAAACATACAGTCATCATAAAACTGTTAGCTAAATAGGGAAAAGTAGGAAATACCCATGAGAAAATAAAAAATATGTAGTAAAAATTTACAAGTACCACACTTAATAGGGAAATGCCAGGACAATCCTTTAAAATCTCTTATCAAAACAGAAGAGCCCATTATATTGCTCATATTCAATACAGTATCAAAGGTACTGCTCAGTAGGTTACTAAAATTAAGTAGAAAACAACAATATGTCTCTCCCCAGACATGTATTTAAAGAGAATCTACAAATTATTAGACCTATTAAGAAAACATAGCAATGCCACTTAAATGTAAGATTAATATGCAAATGTCAATTAACCATTGCCATATATCAGAATTAAGCTTTAGAAAATGTAAAGTGTTAAAAGAAACCATTTAAATGACACATACACACTTATTCACTGAAAACAAAACCAAAACCAAACCCTTTCCCATTGAAGTCAATTCCAACTCCTAGGGACCTTTACAGGACAGAGTAGAACTGCTTCATAAGGTTTCCAAGGCTGTAAATCTTTATGGAAGCAGATTGCCACATCTTTCTCCCAAGGACCAGCTGGGGAGTTTGAACTGCAGACCTTTCAGTTAGCAGCCTAGTGTTTAACCACTGTGCCACCAGGGCTCCTCTTACTCACTGAAGCACTGTTCAAAGGAGCATAAGATTAGAAAACCTAGACATCCATCAGTGGATGTTAACTTTGTAGTATATCCTACCATGAACACTATGAACCAAAAGGATGAGGTTGCTGTTTACCAAATTTGCTGATACGAAAATCTTTTAAGATATTCTGTTAAATTAAAACAGGGTGTAGGGTATAGAATAGTATGTGACTTTTCCTAATAAAAATTATTTTCTAAAAATTATTTTTATAAAATTAAAAGGTAAAATGATTGGCTTGTGCATGGTATCACTGGTAGTATACATACAAAAGTGGCAAAAATGGTATTTCTGGATAAAGTAAACCAAGAAAAGCACCGAAGACAAGTTTTTCAGTATATATTTTTTTGTTCCTTCGAAATTTTGAGCCATTAAAATAACTATTCAAAAAAATAAAGAAAACATTTTAAAGCACCATTTACAAAGGCAATAAACATGTAAGGCACTTGGGTATGTATAAAACCTTAAAGGAAGAAATCATAAAAACAATAAATGTAGGGCATTTGAAATCAAAATTGAAAGCTGCTCTGCCCAAGAAATTTGCATGAATTTCTAAAAGGTATGTGAAAAAGCAAGGAGTCAAGAAAAGCCAAGACACACTGAAAAGCTATGAAGGAGGTGAAAGACCCTCAACACTTAATATGAAGATGTAATATGGATCAGGGATAAACCAAAAGACCAAGAGAAAGACCAAGAGGATCTAGAACTCTGCAGCTGTATGTGTGTGCGCGTGCGTGTGTGTGGTGTCAAAAATTAATTAAGTCCCAACAGTTTGGAGACAATCATAAACATATTTTAAGTAGGTTCTCATTGGAGATGGCAAGTGCTTTTTAGGGGAAGAAAATGGTTCAAGATCCTGATACGTAATGGTTTGAAAAAGTACAAATACTGAAGCAAACACAAATCAGTTCTTTCTGACTCTGTAATTTTTGAAAGTCTAACATTTTAATTCTACTTTGCTTTAATGATCATTTTATCAGATGGGAGGCATGACTGGATATAATTTAACCAGGGGGTCTAAGCAGGCTCTGTTGGTATTTTATAAGCTACTAAGAATTTACAAGGAAGATCACAAATTCCTTTGACAAGATGACAATGAATGTAAGAAATAATATATCTGGAAGAAAAATCATGGGACATTTAAGAATAATTTCTACTGAACATGTAAAATAGCAGTTCACTGAAGTGTTAGAAACCTTACCCTTTTCAGGTAACTCTGGACCTCTCCCCCTACTTCTGCCCATCCGGTCATTCCTAATTTCACTTCGAGACTCATTTCTGGAATCATTCCTTATTTCAGTACGAGAACTGTCTTCTCTCAAATGGTTTCTGCCATAACTCCGGGATTCTTCTTGATAGGTTTCCTCCTTTCGATGAGTATCTCGACTCTCACGGTCCCTGTAGTCATGTGCATCCCGAGTAGAACGAGAATCTCTAGGCTCACGGCTGTCTTTGCTCTCTCGGCTATAATCCCTCATATCCCTGGAGTCCCGCATATCTCTGGAGTCTCTTAGTTCCCTTCGGTCTCTAGCATCTCTGGTATCTCTCCGATCCCGTCCTTCTCGAGGTTCCCTGTCATCTCTGTGGTCTCTCGAAGAGCTCTGATCCTGTTCATACTCTCGGTCTTCTCTCGTCTCCTTTTCTCTGTCCTTTTTGCCTCTAGTCTCTGTAATGCAATTTTGGAAATCATCTATAACTCCTTTTACAAAATTTCAGGCAAAGGTATTTAATGCATAGCTTTTAAAATATGAACAAATAAAATTCAAACTATTCATAAGCCCAAATCTCATGGATAATTTTATTTATGCCTGGATAATTTTAATTATGCTTTTGATTGGATTTGAACAAAAATCCTCCTGCTGCCCTCCTACAAAAACTTAGAGGTTCTCAACAATCCAAACACGTAAGTTGGGCTCACATCATTGAATGCTTACTTTTTAGAAACGACTTTTAGATCCAGAGGCTCACAATAACTTTAATCACTTCTACCAAGTATTTAGACTAGAGTACAAACGATCATCTCAAAAGTACTCTAGCATCAGTGAGTAACCTACAATTAGTAACGTGTCTGGTAAAGAGATTGTGTTTTTCATCCTTCCTTTCCCTGAGCTGTCTAATGGTGTCACATTTCTATGTGTAACAGTCTCATTTTACAAATGAAGAAACAGAAACCCAAAGTTTAAATGGCTTAATTAACTCCATTAAAAAAAAAAAAATGCCCTTGAGCTGATTTTGACTCCTTGCGACCTACAGAACTGTTCCATAGAGTTTCCAAGACTATGAAGCTTTACAGAAGGTTGCCACATCATTCTTCGAGATGGCAACTGGTGGGTTGGAGCTGCTGACCTTTCTGTTAGCAGCCAAATGCTTAAGCCAAAGCCCCATACCTCAGGGGAATTTACAAAAATAAGAAACTATTCTTCTGCATTAACGAAAGAACCTTGAAGAACAAAAGTTACCCTTTTTATCAGATTCCTATAGCTCTTACACTCTGTACTACCCTAAGATCTGAGCCAATTTTAGCAATTGCAGTAGACTTACGCCCAGGACACTAAATTTACCTCCTCTTAGCCGGAGTAAGGCGGGCATGCTGACATCATAGACCGCGTGCCCAATCACCACCCGTGGGCCCACCCAGCGTGGTGCCACTGTGGAGCCCTTGGGCGCATGGCCCTGGGAGCGCTGACATAGGGGCGGAGCTGGGAAAAATTAAAAAAAAAAAAAAAAACTACCTCCTCTTCTCTCTACCCCAGTGGCCACGTCCATAGACTTTCTCCAGGACTCAAATATCCAGTATCCATAGGTCCTTAGACTCTCACATCAGCAACCTATCTCCCTCAACAATTACTTAATCAATATGCCTAGATCCACACATGCCATTAAAGGACAGAAGCACTAGGCAAAGATATGGAAGCTCTCTGTCCCTATCTGTGTACATCTATGACTTCTACTCTTCCAATACAACTGTGCCTAAGAATTTGCTTACTTAGTTCCAGATCCTTTTTCCATGATCCCCCATCTGTCTTTATAAACCTATCTAGGACTGTATTTTATTCTTTACCTACGTCCCCATCCTTCCACTAAAATCACCCTTATTTTAGAAAACAACATCTAAATAGAGAGGAATAAACATCTGTGGTGTTTCTTGCATAGAAGGTTAAAGAAACTTCCTCCTTATAGAGAACTTAAATATATATGATTTGTTATTGAAAAGAATTCTTCCTGTAACTTAAATCCCCTCTTACCACAAAACATTCACACCAGGCTCAGGTGCATACTATTTTCCCTTCTTTAGTATGTTTAATAATTATGTTTTGAAATAATAAAGAGTTCTCATTTAATAAGTATTCAGGAAATGTATATTATATCCCTAGTCAACTCTAGTTGTTAAATATCTTACTAAAATTCATAGATAGGCAGAAGAGAATTTTCCCATCTTACCAATGTTCCATAAATACTATTGTGCTGATCTGGCTCCAAAATCATGCATACAAGGAATAATTCTATAAAATAGGTGCTCTCTGCGGTCCCTACCTATGCATCCATCATTTTCTTGAATAAAAGAACTTGATTAATTATCGCTTGCACTATTGATAGGAAGAGAATAACTAAGTTCAACATGTTTCATAGGAGACTATTATAATGTACTCACAGGCTTTTAAAATACATATTAAGCAAAAAGCATTTCCTAAGTACTCACTATATTCAAAAACTCAGAAAAAATTTAAGGAAAAGACCTGTTAAGTTAAATAAACAAGGACAAGAAGCTTAGACAAGAAGTAAAGAAAGGTAAGAGAGGTATACGACCATATGCCACATAATGCTAGTCTCTCAGGTTAAATAGGAAGTAAGAAATTCAAAGTAACTTAATTCTCAGGGATAGAGAAAGGAAAACAGCTTTACTTCCTTACCATAAATTGTTGTTGCTGTTGTTGTTGTTATGTGCCATCAAGTCGGACCCGACTCATAGCGACCCCTCCTTGGGTTTCCGAGGCAGTATCACTACAGAAGTAGGATTGCCCAACCTTCCTTCCGAGGAGGGCTGGTGGGTTTGAACTGCCAGCCTTCTGGATAGCAGTCAAGTGCCTTAGGTACTATGCTACCAAAGCTCCTTACCATAAATTACACCCAGAAATTTGCTTACTTGGGTGGCATCGACCTTCTGAAAGTCCCTCCCAGCCCTTACCCCTTTATGAAAGCACATTCAACGCTTTCAAACTGTTCCCTGATTTCCTTCTTTTCTTTCCTTTACCTCCTTCTTCTTAATAGAAATTAACTAAGGAACTGAAAGGGATGTTCTAACAATCAGACAACCAAAAGTTTCTGGAACTTCAGAGTACTCAATAGAACATCCTGACTAAATAAAGTACCAATTCAGTATACTTATAAACGTCCACATGTATATCCTTAATAGCTTACCTTCATATGTCCTTAGTAATTCCTACTGCCCTCATGAGCTCTACTCTGTGTTACAGAAAACTTAAAACAACACCTTCCTCTTCTATTCTTTATTATAACAATAAATTTGGATGTCCAATTTTTTACTAAAGAAAATATTTAAATAAAAGAAAACTTGTAAAACATCAAGATGAAGTATGACGCATACCTTCTCTCCTTTCATGACGCCGATCATGAGATTGTGAAGTTCGTTCATGATCATGCCTCCCTTTTTCTCGCATTGGAGAACGATGTCTTGGAGGACTTTGCTTTCTCTGAGGAGAAGACAAAGAATGTGAAGGATAAGGAGAAGCAGAGCGTCGTAAAGGTGGAGTTATTGTCCGCTGATAAGATGGTGAAGGAGTTCTTTTTCGACGAGGAGAAGGTGAATGTCTCTGAATAGAAGATCCAGATTGTGAGGAAGATGAGTGATGTCTAGAGGATATAGGCGAATGATGCTGTCCTGCTGGGGAAGCAGACCTATCAGGAAAAACAACAAAAAGCATGTTTAGCAGCCTTCATTTCTAGCCAAAGGAAAATCTTACAAAAAGAAATACTGGATATAAAAGTTAAAGCTAAAAGTGTGGATAATAATTCCAGGATAGATTTTAATTTAGGATAAATGCTTTAAAATTATTAAAAATTTTATTTTAAGGACTTCCCTGATTTTTAAGTTAACTTGAACAACAGCTCTGGAGGAGATGGGCACTGCCTTTTCCAAAGCCTTGACTCCAAGGCTTATTACTATTTCTTTCCAGGGAACATTTTCCCACTGAGCCAAGACTATCTCCCCTACTTCAATGTATGGGATTTACTCTTATCAAGATAATCTAATAATGTGACCAAGTTATTTGGGGTAGGGGGGCCCACAAACAGTTAAAAGGAAATCATATTACTAAGATCTAGATAGGAAGTAGCTGTGGGAATGCCTATGATTCAAGGCTGCCAGAAAATGGAAAACTATCACCAGCCAAAGCCAAACTTAAAAGTTTGTTCTGTCTGAGTTGGCATTTTGGATGGGAAAACAACAATGGGACAAAGAAACTGATGATAACATATATATTGTCTTTACCTTAAATAACCTGCCTTTACTCTTGGGCAGCAGAATCAAAGATCTAATTCATACTTCTTGGTTTACCTAAGGCCTTCTCTATTTCCTTCAAATCATCTTTCACTGTTTCCAGAGAAACAATTTATAATTCCCAGAAGCACATAAGAATCACTCTTCGAGTTTGTTGTGCCCTGGGCCATTTCCACACTAAATATGCATTAGTGTGTGTGTGTGTATGTGCGTGTGCATAATTAAAAAGAAATAGGCTTAATGTTGAAAAGATAACATTCCAGGTATCACACACCCCAATACTTCTCAAAGCAATTATTTTATGACTAGACATTTATTAAGAAAAAAAAAATCTGAAATTCTATTCCAAATATTTTGGAATTACCTTCAATGTGTATGATAAATATTTTTTAATACCTACAATGGTGGAAAACTCATTATTAACCCAAAACCAGAGTTTCTCAGCCTTAGCACTGCTGAAATTTTGAATTGAGTAATTCTTTGTTATTGTGGGCTGTCTTGGGCACTGTAAGATGTTTATCAGCATCTCTGCTCTCTACCCACTAGATGCCAACTGCACATCTCCTGCAAACCATGACAATATTATTCCATACATTGTCAAATGTCCCCTGGGAGGCAAAATTGCCCCCTGGCTGAAAATCACTGCCCTATATTATTTATAAACGATGCCTTAGTAAACCTTTTATCAACAAAAGGATCAAATCTGTAAAATATTTGTGACTAAGTCAGGAAAGTGATCCAATATTTAAAAAGAAAAAAATTCTGCAGAACATGGATTTAAGCAAATAATCAAAAACACCTTTTGGATAATGTTGTTATTCTTGTTAAGTATCACTGAGTCAATTTTCGACTTACAGAGACCCAGTGTGACAGAGTAGAACTGTCTCAGAGAGTTTTCTCCGGGCTCTATATCATTACAGATCACCAAGACTTTCTCCTGCAAAGCTGCTCAGTGGATTTGCACCACCAACCTTACAGTTAGTAGCTGGTGCTTAATAGTAGCCACCAGGGCTCCTTTTTAGAGAAGAGTTGACTGGGGAAAAAAAAAAAAGAGTCATCTACAACACCACATTTGCCTAAATATTCCAGTTATCTATGATTCTACTGAAACTTGATGCTTTTAATTAAATTTTTATTCCTTTGCCATGTTAAAATATTTAAGCAATAAAGCCACTAAAATTTAACTGATTCTAAATAGAAATTTATTTACTTATAGATACAAGTGGAGATGTCCAATGGGCCTTACCCAAATTTAGAAAATATTTATAATCAATGGCCATTCGAATGTATCCTACTGACTAGAAAAACCAATGTAAGAAATAGAATCACTGTCTTTTGATGCTTTCAATTTCAAATTCATCAAGTTCTGTCTCAAACAGGAAAGGTGACATAATCTATCTAAATTGATTCTGCAAGGAACTGGCATTTTGGTTGGTTTTGAATTTATTTCTAAGGTATACTCAAAATTGTTTCTAAAATATCTTAGTAATAGTCTATGGTGATTAAGTCACCATTAAGAACTTAAAAAATATACACATATTCTAAATACATTATTGTCCAATCATGTTTCTACTCATTTTGGTATATGATATAGAGCAAAACCATCAGTTCAAGCTTAGGAAGAACAAGCTATAAGGCTAGAGCACCAATGTGTTATCAAGTCTTGGCTTTTAATCATATTCTTTCTTCTTACCCGTCCAATGGGAGTAGGGGGTGAGGGAGTGGAGTTTAAGAAAATTGCTGATTTCGTTTAGGAATCTTTGTATTTTCCTCTCTTTTACTACTGTTTTTAGAGTCTGATGAATGAAGAATAGCAAAAAGACAGGACCTGATTATCAAAACAGGATGGGTCAGATTACTTATGTATGCCTAATTAGACCTATGTTCATTCTGTATATATTAAAAAGTGTGACTAGGTAATAAAAACTGTCTTGGAATCTAAAAAGAATTATTAGTACTTTGGCTATAACCTACAGTAAAGATGTATTAAAATGTATTTGACTGGTTTCTTATGGGGCAGGGAATATGTGACATTTGGAATTCACATAGAATTTATGGCATGAAGAGCAGTTCACTATCTTAAAACACAAATGTGGACACAGTCGGCAAGAGCCCTGGGATTTATAGTACATAGGGAAAGCTGATCTTTAGTCTGAATAGATTCCAATAAAAAAATTTTAATGCTCCTATAATTAGGACATAACATGGTATGCAAATATGCAGCATTTATTTTCATTTTGGGGGGAAAATGTGAAAAGCTAAGAAATTTAAAAAGAAAAACTCATTCATGACACAAATACTTTCATCTGCAAAACAAGGTTATTTTCAAACTTTCTTAAAAATAGCAATACCAATTTTTTTCAATACATTATTTCTATTTCACAAATATGAAAACATGCTTATGGAATATAACTAGTATTTATCATTCAACCTTTACACTCACCATATAAAAGTATATTCCTCGCCAAAAAACAAATGGGCTATGGGAAGTATCATAATCAATTTTGCTTTCAGTGGTAAAATACAAAACATGATACACATTTCAAACATAGAAATATTTAAGTTTCATTGTTTTACAAAGAAACTTATTTTTACTAAAATAATAAGCCATTTTAATTCACTCAACAAATACTGAATCACCCACTATGCCTCAAGTATTATTTTTAGTTCTGAGGATACAGAAGTGAACACAAATGAAACCATTAACATAATAATATGAGCTATGGTGACACAATGCCTAAGGCATTTGACTGCTAACTAGAAGGCTGGTGGTTCAAATCCACTAGCCACTCCTCTGAAGGAAGACTGGGCAATCTACTGCTGTAGAGATATCACCTGGGAAACCCAAGGAGGGGTCACTATGAGTCAGAGCCAACTCAATAGCAGTGAGTGAATGAGAGTGTGAATAACAACAATAGTAGCTAACATATATTGCTAAATGCATGACAGTGCGTTGAAGGGGCAGGGAGGCAGCATCTTTTGATATCTAACTACACAAGAGGAAGACAGAATCACCACCAGCAGCCCAAGGCCTGTTCCTATGAGGCCAGATATGCCACCACACTCCAGCCCTCTTACCAACCTTGACACCAATCATCCCTCCTGTGGCACCCACCACCTTTGCTGGGTTCGATAATTTGCTGCAGTGGCCACACAGAACTCACGGATTATGGGGTTTATTAGGGAAGCAACCGGCTACAATTCAAGTTCAGGAACACACTCAAGATGCAGGTCTTCGATCAAGACAGTCTCCCCTCTGCTGTACCCTTAGACACATCTCTGGCTCTTGGCTTCTCAGCCTGGCCTATGTGGGCCAGGTAAGCTTGCTGCTCTGTCCCGTGCCTGTTGGTTCCACTGCCGCCATCCCTCTGCCGGGCATCTGTCTAAGCAGCCAGGAGCGAGATTTCCCTCTGCCTCTAGGAGGGCTCATTTTAAGCCTGGCAGAGTAGCAAAAACTAAGCAATCTCAACATCAGAGTTCAACACACCTGAGAGCGAGCAAACTTCCCCAGAAGATTATTCTGTGCTGCTCTAAAAGAAATACCCCAAAGGTGGATGACTTTAATGATCAGGAGTTTAAAAGCAGCTACTCAGTTGCTCATGGCAAATTCCACCATGGATTTTATTGCCAGCCTCATTATAGGGAATAAACACTACCAGCTGTGTAACCAAGTTGATACATATTTACATGGTACAACCCAGTAATCCAGTGGTAGTTACAGAGACTATGGTTAGAAAAGCCATTCCCTGTAATTCACTACACCATGTAGTGTTTTGAGTGCCTTGCATATATTATCTCATTTAACCTCTATAACAACAAGTCTACAAATAAACTGAAACAGAGGTTTCACAGCCAGTAAGTGGTAGAGCCAGGACTGAAAAACAAGCTCTCTTGCTACATAGTCTATGATCTAAGAAAAGAGACAAGAAGAAGAAAGCAAGGCGATTCTAGCTAAAGTCTATAAAATGAAGTAAAAAAATAAAACTGTTAGGTCCGGGGGAAAAAAAAAAAGAATAATATCCGCCAGGCAGACTACTCTAGTGGCTTGGTAAGAAAAGGGCCTTGCCTCTACTGAAGAGATATGTGAACTGAACCCTGAAAGATCTGAGGGTAGAGTTTTCCACACAGAAGGTTCAGTGAGTATAAAGGAGGTAGGAGGAGAAGAACAGAAAGAAATATAGTATAATTTATGAACAGGTAGAAGAATCTTACAAGACAGTCAGAGAGAAGACAGTGGCCAAATGATAATGGAGTTCCATAGGTCATAGTACAAGTTTCAATTTTTTTCTAAGCATGAGAGAATTAAGAATTTCAGGCAAGAAAGTGTCATTCAAAATCCAGCAAGATCTTACTCGCCTAAATAGATCTATAAGATAAAGAAAATGTTTCTGTACCACAA